CCCCAAAACCCCAAAACCCCAAAACCCCTATTCATCATGAATATTGAATAATTTCTCTACTTATTAACAGTCATGTCGTAGTAGAAGGCGAACATCTGTGTATCAACGAATTCCTGCATAAATGGTCTATCCTGACTCTAAAAAGTTACTGTAAAACTTACATTCTTGATCAAGAACATTTTGCACTCACTGAATTCTGGCTGCAAGTGACTCTTCTTCTGCTTGATTTTATACTTCTTCATCACTGAAGTTATTTCCTTCTCCAGAGCAGCCTTGATAGTCTTTGCTAGATTCTCAGAGAAGGCTTTCTCTGGTGAAGAAGTGTCATATACTGAGTTTCTGATCGAATTAGTGTTTTCCTTTTTGAGGCCCTTGAACATCTTTTCCAGTTTCTCACTGAGTCCACTACATTTGAAATCAGGTAACTTTATAACTTTTTCAACATGAATTCTGCTGTTCTCATTACTTTCAACAATGACTTTGTCGTCAAAGGCATCTAATGGAAGGGACTCGAAAAATTCTTGCTTGTCTGAGAGAGCAAGAAGTATTGGCTGTGGCGCACATAGGTAGTCTTTTAAGAGTTTTGGGAGAAGAGAGATGAATAAATGGCACCATTTAAATGGCTTCATCAACACTCTGAATGCATTCACCATACTCGTGATCAATCCATGGTTTTTAGATACAAATACTATGGATTTCTCCAGCAAGATTGCTTTGAAGAGGTAATAAAAATCCTCAAATTTTATCCAGCTGATAAAGAAAGGGCCATACCAATTTATGTCTAAATATTCCACACTTTCAGGAATCTTGTACTGGAATTTACAAACTTTGTAAGGAATTGGGAGAGTTAAAGAATTTTTGGGCTTGAAATCCTTTGGATTCAGTTCATAAAACTCTTTGAGAGTTTTCATACATAAATCTGATATAATAGGCATGCTGATCATTGACTCAATATCATTAACTAAATCCTTATATTCTGGCAATATATTTAACCCAGACAACCTCTGATTCGATTCCAAAATTTTTGTATTTGCTTGCTCATGCTTTTGGATCTTTGATAGTGCTGACAGTAGTTTATACTGTAATTCAAAATGAGTGTTTCTAAACATTATACAATAAGCCTTTTTGGAAAGAAACAGCTGTTCTTCCATTTGACCGGTAAGGTCAATCTCTTTGACATTTGGAGAGACCAACTCTTTGACCACAATTGTGAGACAATAAAGATGCTCATCTTCATAAATAATTCCCTTGTTATAATCATTTCCGTTAAGAGTAAAAATAAATGTATCATAGAGGTAAATTTTTCTGTTATAGAGAGCCTATAAGAGTCAGGAGGAGTAAACTTACATCAGAAATTTTAATTTCGAGGTCAGGTTTAGAGAGGTCAATCTTCTCAACCCCAATTCCTATTGGGAAACAGAAGTCCTTGATAACTCTATGTCTCTCTGCATGTTCTTCTGAGTTTGGATAATTGTACAGTAAGCTAGGTCTAACAATTTCATGACTAGAATTTAGAGACATCAATGTCATGTCATCAACTCCAATTATATAAAACTCTTCCATGAATTTAGGATTTTTAAGGTTTTTAAACTCAGGTGCTAGAGGGAGCAAATTTATCTGACTAATATGCTCAGAGACATCTTCATTGCCAAAGAATGAAGATCCAATTTCTCCAAAGTCCTCCTTATTAACTGGAGAGAAGATTTCTTTGCTATCTGCTCTTTTCATCCTGAACTCATCAGTCTTATCTTCAAACGGAGAATATCCTGACAAGATTTCAAGTGATTCATCATCTGGGATATAACTCACTTCTCTTAAAGGAACTTGACATTTCGGGTATGGCTGGAGGATAGATTTCTTCCCTGTTGAGGACAGGTAGATGCTCCTTCCAATCTTGATTGACTCACCTACAGAGTTAATTCAGTAAACTTACCATTGAAGATTGATCCATACTGAGGATTTAGCAAGAGATGGTTCTTATTATTTACACTTTTCAAAATATCATCCATATATTGCTTATCTTCCGTTGGATTATAGGTAATTCTCATAGTAGCAGACCGCTTCTTGTTCAAAGTAGGTGGCCTAATCTTTTTCTTCCCTTTAGACAGTATATCAGGAGTATCAGCCAGTCTTTCTTTCTTAGCATTGTTTTCATTCTCATTAGATTCTCTTCTCAGCTTCCTTCTATGAGGAGAGGGTTCAAAGATTGGTCGAGAGTCTAGTAAGGAGTCTTCATAAAGGTATCCTTTAAACTCTTCTTGCATTTGTCTAGTAACAATTGTCTTATCAAAGGCCTCTTCTCTTGCGTAAGAACTGTCAGAATAGTCTGAACCAGTGTCTTCATTTTCAGAAGTTGAACTGGAGGATTCGCCTTCTTTGATATACTTCACTTCTTCGTCTCCTTTTTCTACAAGATTAGGGATAAGGTATACTATAATGATGAGTTCTCCATGGAGAAGTGGCCAAGCTATTTTCTCTGGGACTATGTCTTTCAGAGTCATCTTCAATCTCAATGTAGTCTTCTTCCGTCAAAATTTCTTCGTCAAGGTCAAGAAAGGGCTCTATTGGATAAATAACTAATGATTCACCTTTATTCTCATTATTGAAAGCATTTTTGGACTGATTCGTGAAATGTCTTGGCAAATGATTGATCTTTGGTGTATTAACAGCTTCAACAGGAGCATCTAAGAAGGTTATTTAATTGGGAGCTTACCTTTGCGATAATTCTGAGGATTAACAATCTCAATTTTATCGTTATTCCTGAAAGTTGGCACAGCTTCCTCAGTATCCTTGTTATCAAAGGAGCTTTCATCTGGGATTTGATCATCCTCGTCAGAAAAAGAGTTATCAATTTCTAATTTCGGACTTTGGTTAGGGTCATACGCTTTCATCACATCTCTGTTCTTTAAGAATTTCTGAATTTTATTCTTGGTCCAGCCTGCTTTAGCAATGAGTCTAGAAACTGAGACACAGAAAAGGGGTGTAAATATACCTGTTTAGCTCATCTCTCTCATATTTGATATTCTCATAGTCTTTCTCAAGCTGAATATTCTTAATGACCATGTCCTCATATTGCTTATTTAAGAACGCTGTTTTCTTCGCTTAAGTACTCACATTTTGGACAAGTGTTCTGTGCTGACCTTCTCTTAAAAGGCCTAAAGTGGTTGAATTGCATGAATTAAGAGGCTAAGGAGCTTGCTAAGGTTTCCTTGGCTTAGGCAAAATAAGTAGAGCTAAGCTTACTCAACATTTTCTTCCTCTGTAAAGTCGAACTTATATTCAAAGGATTTCATCCTATGAATTTTGTCATGCCTTGGATTCATATTAAATTGAAATTTAAAATTATTTTTTATATGAAGAAAGTTGATGGGGTTTTGGGGTTTTGGGGTTTTGGGGTTTTGGGGTTTTGGGG